AATGTGTGGTTCCTGTACTAGCTGTTTGAGATTTGGGTTTAAATTGTTATGATATGATTATTGTGTTTTATTTTAGTGTGACTGGTTGACTGGTTGTATGAGTGTATGCTTGTATGTGAATCCAGTGGACAGTACATGTACATTCAAATTCAATATTACTACTTCTCTAATGATAATGACTATATTGTATAGCATACTAGACCTTTCCTATTTGATTTTTTAGGTATAAATGTGAAACAGTAAAAGAGCAAGCCTATAAGCAAGCAAAGTTCAATTCATAATAATAGCTACATAATTATAATGAAAGGGATGAGTAATGACAAATACACCAAACTTAAATCAGCTGTCAATATAGCATTTGTCACACATTGTAAATTACTTATTAATAGTATCATACATTCTTTCAGTTGGTTCAGTAGGAGCCACTTGCACTGAATTGGCTCTGATACTCTCATATGCAACATTAGCTTGTATCCCTCCTGCAGTAGTTCCTCTTCCTGTTGCTTTTATAGTCTCATAAGCCATATTAGGATGAGTGACACCACCAATGGTATCATATGCTTCGTTTAGTGTTGCGTTGTATTCTTTTATCATTGGATTTATTGCTGATGCTGTATGATAAAGAGCAGTGTCACCAGCTATAATTATAAAATGTAATTACAACAGTATCACTGCATGGTATTCTACCTTTCTTGTTTTTCTTTTTCCTTTCAGTAATGCACAAACCAACTATAACCACAGTAATTATTATTATTATTAATATTACAATTACTGCAGCACCACTCAATGTTATTGTAAGGACTGATGGACCACTTCTAGCTGGTGACGTCACTGACGTGGTCACAGGATAATTGTAATTTGTAGAAAAAGGAGGAGAGAAGAAAAAAGAGGAAGATGTGTCACCATCAACTATAAAAGTAAACAGTATAATGACAATATATTATAATAATGTACATGTACCAAATGATTGAAATGAAACTGTAGTAGCTGGTGATACAGACATTGAAGACACTAACAAGGTGGTAGTCATTTTTTGTATAGTTATTAATGATGGTATATTGATAGCAGTATTGTTGAACATTCCTTCTTCATAGCTTAAAGCATCCAGTATTGATATACTGTATACTCCATTGGGTAGAGTACTAATACAATCACTAACTATTGTATCATGTAGTGATTTCATTATTCTGTAATATATTGGGAATACTTCTCCTGTTGTGTTGATAGGATGAAATACAGCATAGCAACCAGTTGATGGAGAGTTTTGTTTAAACTGACACTCAAGGCAAACCGTTGTATCATTAGTTGATAATAAAGCAGCTGTAATGACATGATATGTGCCTATGAAGCAAGAGGGAGAGAGGGAAGACATACAAATAGGCAAAAACAACAAGAGATAAACAAAGTTATTATTCTTATTATTGTTTAAACACATTTCACTTACTTATGTTGAAAGTGAAATCAGTAGTTTCAGTATTATTAACTGACATACTGATACTATAAATAGCACCATATTCCAAAGCATTTGTTATGTTCATAGTTACGCTAACATAAACTGTATCTTCAGTAGTAACAGTGCAGTTATTAGTAGTAGGAGATACCACTGAACAATGATACTCTTTGTCTTTATTTATTGTCAATGAAACTGATTGAGGCACTGTTCCTTTACAGGATATATTATACTAACAACAGCAAAATATTTGATGTATTATTATTGCATTTATTACTACCTGAAATTCAATATAAACTTGCAATGTTCCATTATTATATTCTTCTATAAGCTGTGGCATTGTAACAACAGGAGCTATGGAAAAATCTCAAAGCATAAAATTATGTATGTCTCCACTATACCTTGATATAAAATGATATTTGAGAGTGTAGTGATATTGCCAGCACCAACAATATTCCATGGTGTTATAATGATGTTGTAATTAATACAATGATCATTAATGTGTATATTGTATTGTGTATCAGTAATGTTAACTGATGCATTAGTTGGTAATATTAGTATATTATAGTGTAATATTGGTACTCCTGTTAGTGTATATGGAGCTGTGTACTGTAATGACAGGACTGTACTGTTAATCTGTGTTACTGATGGATGGGAAACTTCTGACAACAAACCTATTGGTTTAAATAATTGTTTATTTAAACAAGTCTCATTGAAAGTGACATGAACTTTTAAAACATCATTACCTTGTACTAACAATTGTACTGTTGAGCTGAAAATATGTGGATTTGATCCATTAAAGACAACACACTGTACAGTTGATTCATTAAATTCTAGCAAAGCTGGCATTGCTAACTCGTAATAACTAATACCATTAGGTAAATATTCTTGGGATGTATCAAAATTTTGATTGAGAAGACTTAAGATGCCATTGACTAGCCAATGCTGTCCTAAGCAATAATGACAAGTACAATTAAACATCGCAGTTGAGCCAAGACTAGTAATAACTGGTTGAGGTGAATATATTAGAGCTAATAAATTGATAATAACAATCTATATTATATATATATACACTTACAAGCATCTCCTTTAACTGTAAAAGTCAATGATAGCAACAACAGGCACAGTGACAAGAACATCATTTCATTCATTTGATCATGGCATAGATAATAGAGTATAAAGGATTGGTAACTGCGTAGGCGGTAGTTATCACCGTATAGATTCTAATTCTCCGCATTCAATAGACCATTGCACGTGACGTCACAGAATAATTTTAATATCCTGTCGGCCATCTTGGAGGACAACTGGAGGCCTCTGAGGCTGAATGCAATGGAGTTCAATGGAGGCCTTGTTGTTTTGGAGACTGAAAAGGCTGCAGCAAGCAATTTACAAGGGAAATCACCTCTAATGGTTGTTACTTGTCCTTCCAAGGCAAGAAGTGAGCATTGGAAGAATATAGCAGTGAAAAGTTATCATCAAGAATGTGGCGGTGAAAGTAGAACTAGAAAGTTGAGAGAGGCCCAGTTTTAATCATTTTTACAGAAATAAAAGTCAATTTATTAACAAATTTGAATGTATATAATCATTATTTATGCTATTGTCTTGAAGTAACAGCTCACTGACCAAAATAGTGGGACCTCAATACGGGCCGAGTTTGAGCCTGGCCCGGGGCTGCTAATGATCATCAGGCAGCCAGTAGTCAGCCTGTTCCTTATGTAGAGTAGTTCCTAAAGGAAGGTAAATATGCTATTTGGCAGTATGAGACTGAAATTAAGACTCACCATAACTCTACTCACCATGGAATTCGTTATTACTGAGCTATCTGTCTGGCCGGCAGTCGAGGCTCGCCCCGGCCTAATATGAACTTCAAATTGACCAAGTAGGTTAGCTTTAAGCTCTAAACCATCAGTGAGTTGCAAGAAATAGGTAAGAAGAAGATTTGCAAGCAAAAAGCACCACTAGTAGTGACAAGTATGGCAACTCATGCCACATGTCCTCCAAGATGGCGGGTAGCAACGGTTGCTATGTTTATTTACACAAAATGGGCGTGTCTGCAATGGGTCTATATTATAATTACAATCATAGATTGTATTACTAAGTAACAGGGATTGGAAACTGATGACGTCACACGGACAGACTCTGTAATGGTGGGAAAGCAATGGAAGGACTACACAAGCTCTTCTCCTAGTCTCCAACTGTATTAATTTGAATTTTATTTACTATCGATGATGAACAGATAGGTCTTGGGAGTTCATGACTGTTCTTTGTGACGGTTAAGCATAGTTTTGTTGACAGAATCTTTGCCGCCTCTCGCGGCCCATGTTATCATTGAAATTGCCTTTGTGATGGCACAATTAACGAATACAGCTATTATTTTTCCAAAGTGCCGTCTGTGGCTTATATAATAGGCTAAAGGCATGTGAAAAACCCTGATCTTTGTTATAGTTTTTGTCCTTTATCCTAATTTTACTTACTTTTTGTGATATAGGTTGAACAGATACGCCTTTAAAAACAGACATTTTGGGATCTTATGATCTGTATGAAGCACTAGTGATAATGAAAGTGTTTTAGTGGCACGTAGCTTTACTTGATGCATGTTTTTTATATTGACACTCTCTCAGTTTTAGTTACCCTTAGCAAGTTATAGGTTGAATAGATTTCACACCTATTACGCATGGTAAAAAAGCATGCTTTTTCTCATTTTTCTTCAAAATAAAGTGCTGTATTACAGCTTTAACAGTTTCTGATAAGTAAGCAAACCTTCAGCAACAATATAAGCTATATAACTGCCCTGGATCTGGCTTCAAGCTACACTTAATCCAGTAGTCCTCTCAGTTATATTGCTCTTGTCTCAACGAGCCGGGGAAGGGGCAGAGTCTTACAAGGTTCGTCCGCACATAGATATTAGAGTAAATTCATTTACTCTATTATCTATGGTCCGCACCTGCTTTCATTAATTTGAATGAGATCACGTGATCTGTTTCCTATCCCTGTTACTTAGTAATACAATCTATGTTACAATGCAAAAGTCAATGGAGAAGAGCCAAATTTTGCCAGAGAATGACAGGTTTATAGGATTTCAAAAGAACATATCAATACCATTACTAGCCAGTTCACTAAAGCAATATGCTACCTGTTGCATGTGTTTCTTTTCTAGCTTAAATATTTACTGTTTCGGAGAAAAAGGTACAGAAACTTTGCCTGTCACTTTTACAACACAAAATTTGAGTTTCTGGAGAAGATGTATGAACTACAAGTCCGAGAATACCCTAGTTCCATGCAAATCAAAGCGCTTGATTGTTCTATGCTTGCTACTTTGTTATAAAACAAGAGACATTTTAGTAAAAGGTACTGACAGAACATCAGAAAAGAGGTCCCGCTTGACACCCGCTGTTAGTAATGAATGAAACAGTTTGTTACTTTTGAGTAACTGTATGAAATTTGGATTGATAAATATAGAAGTTATAAGGTATTTTATGCATATTTTTGTTGATTTTTTGCAACTACTGGGACTAAGTTATGAACAGAGAAAAGTGGACCTCTCCCGTTGCTAAGGAGAAACTAGGATGCGGGAAGTGATAACTTCGCCCTCCATTGGTTTATACAGGCCGCCCACGCAGTTTCCAATCCCTTTATACTCTAATATCCATGGATCATGGATAGGGGTAAGGGGATTAGGTGGGAATAAAAATAGGAATAATAAGCTGTAAAAGAATACAGAATAATTTTGGGAATAAAAGGTGGCACATGGAATAAAAATGGATTCTACAATGAAATTTTATGAGAGGAGCTATGCCAATTATGTGCATCCTTTCAAGAATCTAATGCACAACATTTAGTAAGATTTTTTGACTTCTAGTTTAGTTGTAAGCAAGACTCATTACTTTTTCACCATGTTGAGGCATCAGTTTTGTTGCAGTAATAGCTATTAGTATTATTTAAAGAGAATTCTTTGAGAATATTTGATTCATTTTGGAGAATAAGTTCCTGATTTTTAGAGATATGCTGAATAGAATAATATGAAAATTTTCAGGAATAATCCCCCTACCCCTAATCATGGATACTGATTTGATTCATAAGCAACCTAGTTATTAATAGTTGAATTGGGCGTTGGCTCTATTGTCATGTCTGTCAGGAAGATTTTGCTGCTTGGATGGCTGGAATTCGGCATCGTATTGGCTTTCATTACCTTATCTAATGAGGATTGCGGTAAGAATATGCATCGGTAAACTCTATACCGACGTGTAAAGCTTACTTGAAATCATATATTACCTCTGCTCGCCTCCACTCTAGGTATCGACATTACTCCTTCTGGCAGGAAGGCACTTATTGTAAATGAAGGCCTCAACATTACATGTACAGCTTCTGAATGCAATACTACTTCATATTATATTCAATTTCACGCAAAAATTGGTGGTGGATCTAAAACGTTAAGTCAACAGGTCTGTTTTGAATGCAGCCTCATTATTAATGCTACTATGAATATCAATGGAGCTTTTTTGGAGTGCGCTTTTATTGACACAATTAATCCAAATGAAACAAAATTGTCTGAGACATTAGAGATACTTGTTCAAAGTTAGTTTATATACATCACTGCATGCATGACTGATACACTTAGGTCAGCTTGGACCCATTTCTGATCTAGTGGTTTCTCGATTGAGTGTTGCAGTACTTAATATCAGCTGGAGCCCTGTATTAATTTATGATGAATTATTAGGTTTACTATCATATAATGTCTGTTTTAATGATGAAACCTATTATAACACAACATCCAATACCTGGACAACATTTAATACTACAGATCTAGATCTAGTTCAATGTGATACCATTAATCTATCAATTACTCCTTTTATTGCTGCATCTGATCAAACACTGGTTGGCAATACAAGTCAATGGAATATAAGTAAGTATAATTGTTATTAATCTCTCTCCTTTACTTATATGCATAGCTTATTATAATAATATGCTGATTAACCGCCACACTATCATCATGTATGAGAATGGTACTGTGTTAATAACTATAGTGATTGATGTGAGTATTAATGATTAAGAATAATTAGCAATTTGTGTAATTTTGCATGCAGACTTGCAGTTGTGAAAAGCCAGTGAGCAGTCATGTCACATTAAAGAATAAAGCTAATTTTTTCTCAGTGACATTACCAGTAACACCTGTTAGTAACTGCTCAGGCAATGCTAGTTTGATGCTCCCCCCCTACGTGAGTATTGAGGTTGAAGTATGGCTAAATTATAGTAATGGACTCACAATGATACAAATGGAAAACATTACATTTGGTAAGGGAATGTCCGAAATGAATAATGTTAAAGCATTAAATATATTATGCATATAATACAATTTTCCTTATAGATTCCAATCCTCTTAAAATTGAATTCATTAATGGGACACCTCCTAGTATACAGTGCACATTTACTAATGATGTCCTGATTAGTAATCATCACTTGGCTGGATGTTTAGTGTATTACGCTAATATAAGTCACCCAGCATATGCTTTGAGGGATAATGATGAATCTAGTGTTACAGTTAATATTACTGATATCAGTTCTGGATATTATAATATCAGTGTGATTCCTTTAACATATCCTGTTCAGGATTTATCAGTTAATATTAGTGCTCAACCAAGTGAGTTGTTGTGTTAATGTATTAAACTATTTGAATACGAATAGTTAAGCCACAGCCAAGTACATCGACTACTATTGCCACAAGTACAATATACACTACTATAACAGTATTTAATGCAACTGCAGTGTGTTCACCCACTCCTTCTACTTCTAGTAAGTGATATCTGATTCTGATAAATTGTAGGATGTCTGTCTGTATAGATGTCCATAATTATGACCCTTATTATATGCATTGTAATGGTTTTCACATTAAATAGGACAT